GTTGTAATATGGTGCTACGATTGGCGAGACTCACTGACGATGCCGGTGAAACGTTTGGGAATGTACCACGTCCACGGTCCTACTCTGGAAATGAGGATTCATACAATGAACTTCGGACTAGGTGGGTTCCTCTAAGTTGCGAAAACAAGGTCAAACAACTTCTATACAACAAAAGGCCACACCATCTTGGTCTTCATATCTTCTATGTATTTTTGATCACAGTCCTTGCAGCTTATGCTTTAAACTACGGAGCACTCCATTTTGTTAACTTCTTCATGCTGGGTAGGCAACCTGGTGAAGAAAGTTGTCCTTTCCTTCAGGATTGTATTAATCTTCCATTTCCATAGTATCGGCCGGAGCTTCGAATCCAATTCGCAGGAGGACAGACGCATCCATCGTTATTCCTCTGTTTCTCTTCTTTTCTTTTCATAACCTCAGTCTTTCCATCTGTTTCTTACCGTTCATATGTTGCGTTGTATTGCTTCTTCTAGATATCCATTTCCAAAAAACATCTGAGTTCGTTTTTTCAGTTTCTCTTCCCAGAACTCAGAACCAGTGAGTTATAGGCTCCTTATGACCATACTCCGAAGTATTCCAATCTTGATTCTATTGGTATGGTTATACCGGAAGTTAAGAGTTATTTGTAAAAGTCGTTTCTTGTAAGTTTCCTCTGGGTGAATGACCTCCACACCCAGAAAAGTTAAGTGTCCGTTCTCTTCCATATCTATGGTAAATTTGACTTTTTCATCCATTTCGCTTATGAAGATAAGGAAATTGTCTAATTTATTCTCTTCAATGCTTCCAGATTGCGAATTACTTATCCAAATATCGCATAATTACTGTTGGCTGCTGAGGTGACATCTTGAAATTCTCCTCCAACTTGTTCATGCAGATATAAGCCAACAGAGGTAAGAGTGGTGAGCTCATCTACAGACCAAATATTTGCTCATAGGTACGGCCGTTTAACGTGAAATAGGTTGTTTATATTGTTAAGTCGATTAATCGGGTTAGAGACTCTTTTCGGGTTCGCTCCGTCTCCAGGATGCCATCTTCTGTTTCCAAGATCTCCAGTTGTGCAGTGAGTGTTTCTGCTGTGACATTAATGCACATGGACTATACCGCAAAGCTCACAAAAAATTCGTTGCCTTTGATTCTTTGGCAAAATTCGTATAAATTCTTCAATCTTTTCGATTATTTGTCATTCACTTTATTTAATTTGAGGCAGATAAATTTTGCCAATTTATATGTTGGTCTGTGTGTGTTTTTGACTATCAATTCTCCTTCCTTGAGTATGCAGCAAACCGTATACTACTGGGGCTCTTGCATTCGCTTGTATTAGTCTTACAAGCAGACAAAGGAGGTGCCAAAGTGGTGATGAACATATCGGAATATACGGAGAAAATGGAAATATTCTCGGGTATACTACAACTTATCGACTACTAACAAAAGACTGCACGAAATGTTGAGTGACCTGAATATGAACGAGTAAATCAAAAAATGGACACTGAATTCACTCATACGAAAGGATGCAAGACCCCCAATAGCAAGCGTTTGCCGAAGGCACACAAATAAAGAGAACCATTGATACTGATAGAATCGTGTGAATAAGTGGATGGACCATATGAAGGGAGAACGAAAAATAGGGGCAAGGAGTGATGCCACAACTGTTTAACAGAAAACTGGTCATGGGGATTGCTTTCAATTGTCTCTGGTAAGTTATAACTCTGTGCTTACGATGGCGCCTCTCACTGACGATGCCGGCGAGACGTTTGGGAAGGTACCCAGTTAATGGTCGAATGCTGGAATTCACGAATACTATGGCAGAGGATGTAGGACTAGGTACGTTCCACAAGGTCTACCTGACGCTCCGACCAAGTTGCGAAAGCAAGGTCGATCAGCACTATAAAGCTAAAGGACACTGCGACCAAACAGAAGGCCACACCCTCTTGGTCCTCATATCCATGACTGAAGTAAAGTCACTACATACTCTTATCTGGATTTTGTTGCTAACCTTCTAGAGTTCGGTCGCTATAGCGACTCAACAAAAATTATATTCGATTTATCATTTTAAGTGCTTAATTTGGACCACCTTTTTATTTCACCTACAGCTCTACATCACCCTTCCGTCAAGCCTGGCGCAATCACCTTTATTGAGATCCTACGTGACGGGCACTCTGATTTGGGCATTAGCTTTGTTGGTGGCTCAGACACGCCACTAGTAAGTTTTTCAGATTTGTGATGCTATTTAGAGATGAGTTTATCTATCATTTTCAGCCATTTTTAAAAATCATACCGTATTTTCTTTACGTAGTTGATCCCCACCTTATACGCCTGCCCTATAACTCGCTCTTGTATTGTGACCTTTTAAGTGAGGCTGTAAAAGTGCTTTCCATTTTTAAGCCGTACACATACTCGACACTATAAGAATAGATTCGCACGCGTTTTTAGCGCAGATGATTATCCCTTCTATGTTCGGAGCTACAGACC